ATATATATATATATATATATATATATATATATATATATATATATATATATATATAGAGTACGGTAGAAGGAAATAAAAAATGGGTAGAAAATGGTATCTGCGGTGTATGTACACCTCAGCTATACTCTGAAACGACAGTAAAGAAAAAAAGAAAAAAAATAAATATATTTATATAAAATAAATGTTGCGGTTATGTTGTGGTGGTATTGCTAGCAGTAAATAAATAAAAAAAAACAAAAAACGAATTTCAGGTGTATAGGCAGCTCCATGCATGCACCCTTTTAAGTTTCGCTGCTGAAATCAAAAAAATGTAACATTTATAAACAATGCCGTTCTGCTGCTGCTGCTGCTGCTGCTGCTGCTGCAGTTAATTTGTATATGCTGCTGCTGCTGCTGCTGCTGCTGCTGCTGCTGCAGTGAACACATATGTGGGGAGCTGCAGCTGCAGCACAGCAGCAGCAACCCGAAGGCTGAGGGCCCAGCAGCAACGGAAAAGTTAAACTCATGGTGTATTCCCTTCTGCTGCAGCAGCAGCAGCAGCTGCAGCAGCTGCAGCAGCTGCAGCAGCAGCAGCAGCACGCTTTTCTGCTGCTGCAGCGCGAAGCTCTGCTGCTTTGATTTGTTCAGCAGTCCGGGGGTCCCTTGTCTGTGCTCTTGTTGGTGCTGCTGCTGCTGTTGCTGCTGCTGCTGACGCAAGCCCACCAGCAGCAACAGCAGAAGGAGCAGCAGCAACAGCAGCAGCAGCAGCAGCAGCAGAAGAGGGTTCTGTCTTTGTATTACTGTTTCCTTCACTCCCTATACAAAAACACAAAATAAAGTTTTGGGGTTTTGTTGTAAAAAGCAAATAAAATAAATAAATAAAATATTTATAAACAAATATACATAAGTAAAACAAATATAAATATAAAAACAGAACAAAAAAAGCAAAAAAAAAAACAAAAAAAAGAAAAAAGAAGAAACTTGTATCCTCACTCTCTTCCTTCTCCAGTTTGCGCCGCTTAGAGAAAAACGAAGAAATTGGCGCCGTGCTGCTGTTGCTGCTGCTGCTGCTGCTGCTGTTGCTGCTGCTGCTGTTGCTGCTGCTGGCAGTTGTTGGGGGCGGTAGGGCTCCTTGCTTTGTTGTTTGTGTTGCTGCAGCAGAAAGAAAGAGAGACAAATTAAAAACAAATAAAGAGAAAGAGAAAATAAATAAATAAATAAATAAATAAATACAAAACAAAAAAATAAAAGGATAAGCAGAAATAAATATAAATAAAGAGAAACAAAGAACAAATAAACAAGAAAAGGGAAAGAAGAAGAAAAAAAAAACAAACAAATAATAAAACAAACAAACAAAAAAAAAATAAAACAAATAAAGGAGACGAAACAAAGTAAAGAAACTAAATAAAAAGACAAAAACAAAACAATAAAACAAATAAATAAAAAGAAACAAACAAACCAACAAAACAACTAAAATAAAAAATAAAAAAAATATAAAAAAATAAAATGAAAGCACCTGTTGTGTTTTTCTTTGTCTTCTTCTTCGGTTCTGGTTCTGCTATCTTTATATATTTACCGCCGCAGCGAGCGGCATGCTCAGCCCCTACACAAACCCTAAACCCTAAACCCTAAACCCTAAACCCTAAACCCTAAACCCTAAACCCTTGAGGATGAAGTCTTAGACATGTGCAAAAAAGAAAAGGAGAAAAACAAAAAAAAATTAAAATTGAGAGAGAAAAAATAAAAAATAGATAAACAAATAAACAACAAAATAAAAACAGAGATATATAAAATATATTAAAATAACAGCAGCAAGAGATAGCAGCAGCAGCAGCAGCAGCAGCAGAACGCCAACACACAAAAAAAAGAAGATAGAAAAACAAAATAAAAAAGAAAATAAATAAATAAAATACATAAACAAAATAAAGAAACAAACAGGCAAAACAAATAAATAAAACAAACAAAAT